GAACCTGCATACTATTGATGAGCCCGGACTTTTCTGCTACTCTGCAACCTTGAATTCTGTTCTTTATCTAAATTACGTTATTATCCTATAAGTTCTTTCTCCATTTTATGTTTTTAGGTATATACTGTTGTTTGTTAAATATATTATCAGAATGCACAGCCAAAACTAGGCACGTGTCAATACGACAAACTGAGTCACATAAAAAGATTACATTTAAAAAAAAAATTATTTACAATTTTTCCAAATGATTATGGGTTTATCATTCACTCTGATGTTGTGCTTTGACTGAGGTGTTTACAATACAATTTTGACAAAAGTAGCTTTTGACTCATTAAAAGAGAATAAAAAATTACACTTAATGCCATAACAGTTTACAAACACTTCAAAAGATTTCCAATTTCAAATTTATGTTTATAGGAATCTGAGAATTAGTTACCTGTTTAATGTATATATAGATAACCATGGAAACCTTTTTTTTTTAAATGGTAACCTGTTTTTGATGTGAGAGAATCATGTGCTTTATTGAATTCGATATAAGTTGCTAAACATTTTAAAAGATTGTGAATGTTATAATTTATGTCTAACCTGAATTTCAAAGTGAATCACATGTTGTATCCATACCTCCCATTTATCAGGGTGATATGGGCTTTAAAGTTTGTGAGTGCAGAGAATGACTTTGTACCATTGACAAATCATGGTTAATGGCAAGACGCCTTTGGAACAAAGTATTTTTCAGTTGGAACTTTAGTTCAAACAAATAAGTGACCGGAACACATAACACGATAAACGGAGGAATAACTCCTGATAATGCCTTGTTAGCAATTTGTTCATTTTCAAGTGATATTCACTTAATTTTATATTGCCCACATGACCTATGATGTCATATGTCAGTTAGAATTGAATGTGCTCCCTATATGTTTTTGTAACACTAATGAAAACGTCTCTGTTGGTGAAACACGTTAAAGGGGCACTATAGTAACCAGAACAACTACAGCTTATTGGTGAGTATAGTCAGTCCCGGCAGGCATTTTGCACTAAACACTGTATTTTCAGAGAAAAGGCCGTGTTTACATTACAGCTGTAAGGAAATCAAGTATAGCCGATTAACGTGGCTCCGCAATTAACGTGGCTTTTGTTTTGTTACTTGCCACTCTGCCTCGAGCTTCCAGTAAGTCCTTTAGCGTGGTTCTTTTAAGTAGCTGGTACTGCTGAGCCATTCATTCCTTTGCTTGTTTTGAAATGTCCATTTGGGATTCGAATCCCTCCGCTTGCCACCAGTTGTAAGGAAATCAAGTATAGCTGAACCGCTTTGATAATTCCTCCTGCAATGCCAGCGTCTAAGGTAGTTCTAAGCAATGAAGTCCATAAGAAATATAACAGCTTCCCAAGATAATCCCCTTGGTAAAGTATACGAATTCCCAAATAACAGTCAGAGTCCAGAATCAGGATACAAGTAGATCTGAGGTCTGGAATCTCCAGCCTGCTTTTTATTAAGGTTACAGACAAGAAATACACACCCAGGGGAAGGCATTAAATCACCAATCAGGTATAGGTTACAGCCCATACCTCCCTCCCCTCTGATAAACAGTTAACTTAATTAAAACGTGCACTATTTTACCCCAGTTCTGGATGTACCCCAAAAACAGGGGGTACACCTTTAAATTGGGTACCGCTGGATAGTTCTCATTTGTGGGGACAACATATCAAAAAATCAGTCCATTCGGATGAATGGTTCGGGAGTTATGGAACACTAAAGTTTTGACCGACCGCACGGACCATCTAGCCGAAAATAGTTCCATAAGTTTTGGCCCTGCGGTCGGTCTCCGTTTAGGCGAATAAAAGAGACGAAAGCCCTGCCATCCATTCGCATCTTTGTGATCGTTGAAATCCCCATACGAAGTTGCATGTAACTACCGAACGGCCGGTGATTCGGTCGTTCCCGTGCGAAGTTCTGGATGCATGGAGGTCTCAGCGGTGTTCGCCTGTTTGCGTATCCGATTTTAGTTCCACGCGTTGACGGGCAAACACCGCTGTTCGCACGTAAAATGGCCGCGGCCACGTGTAAAGTGCCGAAATGGCGGCCATCTATATTTTACACAGGGAATTCGTCTGAATCCATCCGAAGGGTAGAAATGAAAGCTATATGCCGAATTCCAGCTAAGTTTGGTGAATTAACTGTACAACAAAAGGTAGAAATCCTGATTAACTGAGTCATTTCTTCACAACAGCCTAGAGACAACTCCAGTGGCCACTACTAGACGGCTAGTAGAGGTGCTTCCTAGGGGCAGTGCTGCACACTGTGCAGAACTGACATTCAGTGTCTCCACTCTCTGCATGGAGACACTGAACTTTCTTTATAGAGATGCATTGATTCAATGCATCTCTATGAGAGATGCCGATTGGCCACAGTGGTGTTTGGCTCCACCCCGGCCCTCCTCCTTGGCTGAGATCATCAGAATTGACAATCTCAGCAAATCCAATGCTTTCCTATGGGAAAGCATTTTGATTGGCTGAGATTATTACATCTGATGATGTCAGCCAAGGATTTGAATATAAAGAATAATCCAGGCACTCCAGCATATTCCAAAATGTAGGCAATCTTTATTGGAACAAGGAACCAAAAAGCAACGTTTCAACCCCTTAAGGCCTTTGTCAAGGGGTCGAAACATTGCTTTTTGGTTCCTTGTTCCAATAAAGATTGCCTACATTTTGGAATATGCTGGAGTGCCTGGATTATTCTTTATATTCAAATGCTTCAATTGGTCCTTTTTTGGTACTGGGGTTTATCCACTAGAGCACCCTGAATTCCAGATGAAGGATTGAGTGCACTTCAATCACCTACAGATGTCAGCCAAGGAGACAGATCAGGGGCAGAGCCAGCACCCGTAGACTGGAATAAAGGTACAATTTTACTATATTTAAGGGGCCAAAAGGAGGTCAGATGGGCTAGATAGTGTTTGTGTTCCTGACCCTATAGTGCTCCTTTAAGTGTATTTTTTACTGCTTTATACTGCTTTTATTTTTTATTTACCCTATATACTAGTTTATCTGATAAAGTAGTTAATTTTATTACACCCTTGGACCATTCAGATCTTTCCATTGGAGCTTGGACACAATTCCTTTGGTGCGGAAAATGCCATATGAGCGCTGTGGATTGAGCAAAACCTCACTTTTGCTCCTTATTTGTTGTGAGTACCTGTCCAATTTTTTATTAGTGTACATTAATATCAGAAGCCCTATATGTTTTATTTTTGTTCTCTACTGTATACTACCAATTCATCTACAAGCCTGTGAGACCCTGTGGTGGGGTGTAACTCATCTTGAGCCTCCATACCTGGTTGGAGGTCCCCTGCACAGAAGCACTTTAACTAATAGAAGACACCAAATATCCCTAGGCGGTGTTGTACCACACATCTGAATAGAGCTATCCCAGCTCTTAAATCTGTAAGTGCATTTTCACTTCTTATTTTGCCATTGTATGAGGGACATACTACACTATATTCTGCTGTACCTTTCTGTCTCCACATACCACATTTGAGAACGCTTCTACCTATGAAACATATCAAGGCACTACTCCCTCTTCTTATTTCACATACCTTTTATTGGCCCAGAATGGAGAGCCTCTGGATTGGGTGTTTAAGCTGCTTACCCTTTTTCAATTGCACGCGCTCGAAACCCAGTTTTTAATTATTTGGACTTTTTTTTTTTTAAATGACAAACTCCAGACACATACAACACTATGATAAGCTGGATTGCTTTATGTGTGCTATAGTGTGCCAATAACATGCTTTACAAAATTCACCCTTAAAAGCTTAAAGGAACTATATAGTGTAAGGAATATAAACATGTTTTCCTGACACTATGGTTCTAATAGCAATATTTAGGCCCCTGCCCCCACTGTAAGAGGAGTAAAAGGTGAGTTTACTCACCTTTTTTCCAGTGCCATGTGGCTTACGTTGCGACTGGGACAGCCTCCATTTTGCCTTGACTGAGATCAAATCCATTGCTATCCCATAGGAAAGCATTCTGGGGCTATTGCGCTTGCACAGCAAAACGTCCCACTGCCCCAAACAGTATCTCCTCATAGAGATGCATTTAATCAGTGCATCTCTAGGAGGAATGTTCAACACCTTCATGCAAAGTGTGAAGACACTGAATGTATGTGCTGCACACTGTGCAGCACTGACACAAGAAGTACCTCTAGTGACCGTATGAGTGACTGACACTGTGAAAAGGCAGTGTTTACATTAAAGAGCCTGCGGGGATAGGCTATAGACTCCAGAACAGGTATATTAAGCTGCAGTTGTTCCAGTGACTATAGTGTCCCTTTAAATAGATCATCCAACACAAATCGCAAAATTCAACCCATAAATAGCCATAGCGGGACTAAGCAGAACTAAGATTATTTAGTTTAGGGAATTAACTACAGAGGTTTATTCATTAAACTGTGAAATGTAGTGAACTGAAATATTAATTTTAAATGAGACAAAAATAATTAACTTGAAAGTTTTTAAATCAGCCTAGGCACAGTTTGGCTATTTAAACCTAGATTTTTCACTTCGAATTGTTATTCATTGTAATGTTTAGTGAATAAACCTGTTCTGTATTTGTATATATTGCCTATGATGCAGACAGGGATGTGACACAAACAGCCTGCTGCTGTGTCCATTGAGCGAGCATTCAGAAGGGGGGGCTGGGCTTGACAGGTGACCAGCACAGACGCCATCTCTGGAGTTCCTCGACCTCTGCATCCAAAACCGGGGATTTCTCCCAAACCCACTGGCACACCGACTTACCTGCAGTACCACCAGCTGCAGGAGACTGAGAGGCACACGCCGATGCCTTTCTTTCAGCAAACGGGCGCCAAACACAAACACCAACCACCCAAGGCCTACAACGCAGCCGGCCTGAAAATCGCTCCGCAAACCTCCGCAGCCTGGTGGGACCTAGACTGGCTCACTCCAGAACCCCTACAAATGCAGGTCCAACGATCCGAAGCAATGGGCAAAAAATCCCAAGCGGCCACCTCACAAGACATGCAGGACATTGGAGTGCTGCTACAACGCACACCAAGGCCCAGGGAGCAGGATCAGACTGAAACAGGGGCCCAGGACCTTAAAGAGACAGGAGGGGTGAGTGACACCACACAAGGGCCACCTCCAACAGGGCTCCAGACAACGCAAACCTCGAATAGCCAGGACCCTGCGACTAAGCAGGACATCGACAACCTTTTTAACCGCATCCAACAACAGAAGTGCAGGCGCTAAAGGCTCATGTCCAGGCAACAGATTCCACTGTGGCTGACCTACAACAGCAGCTATCGGCATTAACAGACACAGTTAAACAGCTACAGGGGTCCCACTCGGAAACCTCGCTGAGAATAGACGCCATAGATGAAAGAGCACACCAGAAAAATATCAAGATACGAGGTGTTGCAGAAACAGTCACCCCTGAAGAATTACCACACTTCATAAGGAGAATGGTGTTCAAACTACTCCCTGCGAAACAGGCCAAACAATTCACGCACAACGGGATCTACCGCATAGCTAGGTCCCCCAAGGCGCCGAATACAGTTCCAAGGGACATAATCTTATGCTGTGGGACGAGACAAGACAAGCACGCCCTATTGAAAGCAACATACAACAAGACACCAATGGACTTTGAGACTCACAAGATCTCATTTTTCCAAGATCTTCATCGTTCCACACTGACATTGTGGAAAACGATGCAACCCATCACGTGAAAACTACAAGAAGCTGGCATATCATACAGATGGTCCACACCCAGATCCCTTATGGTACATATCAACGGCACACAGTTGAAGGCAACTGACGTGGCGGAAGCCACCACCTTCCTAGCAGCAGTGGGCATTGATGATACCACGCAAGAGCAGAGTGCCAGAGACACTAATGGGACTTGGGACTTGGATAACATTACCCGGTTCACGCCACGGAACGGTCAGGGTGATGGGACTTAAAGTACCACCTTCTCTTAAGTTGCAACACTATGGTTTTATTGTTTTGTATTTTATATTATGCTTTCAATATTGTTTTCACCCGGTAACTGAAAAAGTTCACATAATGATCGGACTGAAGCCCCAGAGATATCTGTGCACCTAGGTAGTTGCTCTCCTAGAGACGACCTGCCTAACGACTGCTAGCCACTGACTAGACTACACTCACCCCCTCCCCCCCCAATGTCCCCTAGGGTTAGGGACATAACATAATGGACACCCTATATACTTATCTCCCATAGCGCTGCTAAAGGTGTGGGAACCACATATATGAGAATAGACCATGCCACGCGTGTACATAGACAACTGATAGCACAATAAGCTAATAAAAGGGTCACTTAGGCCCAACTGCAACCAGACGAGCCCCCGAAAACCGACTGTGAACCCCTTACAAGGGCTCACACCTAGACGAACATGGACAGGAATGCCCGAGCCTTGAGACATGACTAACAGTTTATTTGTTATATACAGATTAAAATACAAAAAGCAGGTGTTAGCAATCTATATACAGGAAGCATTATTGGATATTCACGTGTGCCAAAGGACATAACCATATCTTGTACCCTGTAATGCTGTCGAATGCATCACCTGCAAAAACAAAAACCACAAAAATGTGCCGACGCAGCGTAATGGAGCAGAGCAATAGTCTTGTATGTTTAACGCCTTATGTCATATGTTTCATTGTGAAAAATGCCTATTCCTGCATTTGTTTATTGCGACGATGCGGGAAGATTTGTTAACCCATGCAATGAAAAATAAAGAATAAAAAAAAAAAAGAACAGTCCAATCTCCCCAAACTGCAGAGTAATCCCTATATACAGCAGAATCAAACTGTAAGTAGTTGGGGTTTTTTGTGAGAGACATCATTTTCCCCTTTCGAAATTAATCTCATGCCATATCCAGTGACGTCACACATATATAATTAATTATTCAAATTAGCACAGCCGGTGTTTTTTTCCAAGTAAGGTGGCAACCCTACTTCTGGTGCTCATGTGAAGAGAGGAAGTGCTTCTTTGTTTGGTAGCAATGGTTCTAAAACCAGCATCTACCACTTGGTGGGGCTACAGCTTTACAAATTGGATTTTAAAGTTTCCACCTACTACTAGTAGGTGCAACAGTTATTTAGAACAGGTTCTTCCAAGGGTTGCAATCCTCGATTATCAGACTTTATCTGGCTATCAGCTTTTTCCTTAAATTGATAATAAACACTTTATACGTCTGTAAAACTGTAAAAATGGCTCACAATACTAAAAGAACTGCAGCAATTGTTTAAAAAAAAAATAGAACAAAAAAAATACTTTTTTACTGTATACAGTGGTAATTAAAAAGGTGCAAGGATACATTTCACAGTCACTTCCCATGATTTGTTGGTGCTATGTATATATAATGACATAATAATAATTATTATCAATTTATATTATTTACAATGTATTTAAATTTGGACATTAAAGGGACACATTATGCAGTAAGAGACCTTACTACTTCCAAAGTTTCTAAATCTGCAACACTTCAACAGTTTTTTTTATCCTATAAACAACTGCTGGACAGTGGCTCCCATTAAGTATCGCTGAAGTTACCGGTATTCATCTTCTGGGGATTTTTACATCACACAGGGCTATATATGTTTTTGAGGGGTCAGTGTGAATGTGTGGAAATGGCCAGCGTGTCTATGTATGTGTGTGCAGATGGGTTGTGTAGGCAGATGAAAAACATATGTATACATTATAATTGGACCTGCACTGAAAAGGGCACAGAATACACATACAGAAAACTATATGGAAACACACCCATCAAATGCAGATACAGCACACAGAAAAACATATACACATTAAATTTGGTATTTTCATCTCAACCTTCCTTTCTACATGAGCAGGAGTAGCGCGCTCGCTTTGAGATACCATTTGACAGTGGAAGGAGGCCATATCTGTCTACTTAATCTGAAGCCTCCTCTAAGATGGTTTATCAAGTTTAGTGTTTCCGTCCGAGAGAGAGAGAGAGAGAGAGAGACATACCGCTGCCTCTTTCAAATGGAGTGTGTCTCTTTTTCACCACGTGATTATTTTAGAAAGGAGAAAGCAGGGTTAGCATGGTTTATGGTTCCATGCATGCTGATAGCACAGAGTACAAGCAACATGTGGGTCAATATTAGTGTCATCTAGGTTGAGCATTGCTTGCCTAGCCTGTCTCTCAAAATGACATCTGTTTCACTGTCAGTTTTCTTTTTTTAATAATAGAATGCTGATATTTACTGTGAAGGGCAATCAACCACACAGTATGGAACCGCTGTTCAACCTTCTTAAAAAGGCTTGAACACATACCATCATTAGTTTTCAGTTGCAAGCTACTGCAATTGATAGTGATCCATTAGCACGCCCCTCACATATGCTTCTGCTTGCCCCCCAGGTGCTCAGAATCAAGGCCTACCACTGGTAGGAAAAATATAACTCAGTGTAGTTGTATTTCACACCAATATCTCGGGGTCCTATATGAGAGATAAATATTTTGATCTGTATTTCATGAGCCCCTTGCTATATAGGGCTGGTAGAACAATATGGGATTAGTTGTTCTACAACAGCTATGAATCTACCTATATCTACACTAAGCTATAGTCCTTGAGTTTAATTTGTTCTTGGAGACCTACATTCTCTTACTGGTTGAGACAGAAATGGGAAGGGTTACCCAGAACATACATTGTTTAATATTGTGACCACGACATTATAAACAAAATCACCTCACATATATATTTTATGCATACTGTGGGGAATTTTTAACAAAATATTAAATACAGGGCATGGATGATCAAACATTAGAACTCAAGTTGTTGCACAAATACAAATTCCAATGTTTCTCTGACAGCCTTAAGGCTGTCAGAGCACCATGGGGGTTGTAGTTCGGCAACAGTTGGGGTTGTACCTTTTGGGGACCCTTGATAGAGGGATTTGGTACTTGTGGCATTATATGGCCATGTGGTACAACTCAAACCTCATTAATATCTTTTGACAGGAGCTGGATTTTGAATAGTCTGACACAGGCTAAATTTTCCATGAAATTTGCCCTTGCAGATTTAAAGAGTTAAATCCTCATCTAGTGATCATGTGGCAAGGAAGTCCCCATATGAAATCTTTAATGTATTGCTTTTTTATGGGAAAGCTTTGATCTGCCTGTGGCACTCGACTCGCATGCACATCAGTACCAGAAAAGAGCATGAATTGGGCCTTGCTGGAGGAGGCCACGGAAGAAGGAAAGCAGCTCAGAAGCAGCCAAGGTACTGGAAAAAAGGTAAAAAAATATTTTATTTTATTCAATTTTTTACTGCACATGTTTCCTATGAACATTGTATATGTATGCAAACCTTTATATGACAGATAAAAGTATGATAATGAGTAATTTCAAGAATTAGCTGACACTTTCTTGCAAATAGGGATTGTATCAACTGAATTTTAATTAATGAGGAAGTTTACTAATTGAGTAATAGTGTTTATATAAAAGTCCATAATTAGGAACATTTTAAACTATGTTTAGAAATCCCAGTAACATTATCAAATCTTTATATTGTACCTTTCTTTATGACAATGGAACAATGTTTTGGGTTTTCCTCCTCCAATGCAATTTATTGGCTCTTCTTTGAACTGAATTTACCAGTACCAGAGGTTTTTTATTCATAGTATGCAATATATGAATACCCCTTTTAGTTTTCTCTCTTATGTTCAGTAACTTTAGGGAAGACACACTTAAGGTACACAAGTTACTCAAAATAGCTGTGTATATTGCTTCATTTTACTATTTTAGAGCATGCAAGAGGCTGTAGCGATGCCTTTAGAAGAGATGAGATCTTACCCTCTTCTTTAAAATAGAAATATAAGATTCTTTATTCGACTTTTCACAGTATTAGTGGGGGGTTCTATTGCAGATCTACTACAGTAACCATTTTATTGTGAGTAATTGTTTATGGCCTGATGAATATGATGAGCCAATCAATAGGGACACACTGATACAGCATAGGGACTCATGGTCTGATCCAGGTATTAAGAAGCACTGTACTAAATTGAGGGAATGACCTAATATATTACTGTACCCTTTGCATTCATCTCAGTCATGTTTTGGTGGCAGTACCAGTCTGTGGTTTGGCAAAATTCCCTGGCACGCTGTATGCGGGGCTTCCTTTCCCCAAGGCAGGAAACTGCTTTGTTTTCAAGCCTCAAAGAAAAGAACAAAATGTTCTTTGGTTTCGATGTATGATAACAGAGTGATATT